CCCGGACTGACCTGCCGATGATTCACGGACCCCCGGGGCTTACATACTTACCAATGATGACACAACGAAGACGCCCGCCGTCTGCACACCACCCCAAGCCGTCTTCCGCATCACGAGGGCATCACATCCAGGTCTGTAACCCTTCTCCAATTGGCCCGGTGCCGCCCTCAGCGAATCTGCCGCTCCAGGCAAACGCCTTGTTTGCCTCGCGGCAGATACGCCCCTGTGCTATGGGCCTGTTTATACAGCAATGTCCTTAATAGAAAGAAAAATACTGTGGGTTTTTAAAATTATTTTTAGAACAAATAGGTATTTTGTAAGTGTTTTGCATTAAAAAAAATATATGCAGTCTGTACACAAAAGGATGTGTAAACAAAACAACCCAAAAGTATACATTTCATTCTATCATTTTGTCCAGTTTTTAATGGAACTAAAACTAAATTTTTATTTTTTGTGTTTGTTTGAAAGCATTGCAAAGCTATTTGCAAATAGTTTTTTGTGCATTTTTATTTTCTCAAACAAAACTAAGAAAAATATTAAATATATAGTTAGAAATATTTTTTAAAAATAATAGCTATGGGGAGAAGGGGGAGGAGTTGGCTAACAATCTTCAAAGGAATCTCTGAATCGTACTCAGCAAGTCCCGTCTTTTTGACACCTTTTTCAAGGACCTGGAACATGGATTTGTAAATCCCTCTAGCACTAGCAACCATTTTCTTCACGTCTTTCAACACTGAGTTCATGTGACAGACGGAAGTAATAGCGAGGAAAAGTATACTTGCGGTTAAGATGGTTGAAGCTAGTGTCACTGAGTGGGATGAGCACAGAGTAATTATGTTACGTTGGCAGCTGTGCTGAGGACTAAAGACAGTTGCTGCAGGATACTGGTCAGAAGCTGGGCTGAGGTTAATGGCTGAAGTGACTGCAGGAGGTCTCTATTAATTTTAGCAAGATGTGGGTACAAGCAGCAACATACTACAAGATGGAGAGCGAATTGCAGATAATTCAGGATAAAAAGTGTTGTATGTAGCTAGAACTTCAGTATGGAGAACAATAAAGTAGTTATATGCTTCAGGATGGAGAGCAGGTTCAACTGCTATATGCCAGCATGTTCAATGCACTAACGCTGGGGAAATGAATCCCAGGGCTTAAACTGACACAGAAGGCAGAACTCTATGACGCTGCATGGTGAGTGGTAGGTAGGCAGTGCCACCTGCTGGAGCCGCGTGGGAGGAAAGGCAAGTATATTACAATATTATACAATGTTGGGAATATGTAAGCGTTACACGATTTAAAGGCTGAAAAGTCAAATAAATGTTGTGAAGGTAAAAATGTGATGAAGTACAATAATCTCTTCACACTTGCTATATACTAACTGGGTACCAGTCATATTGCTGCCTTCATTTTAGGTATTTAATGTAGGAGCCTAATACTACTACATGTTTAATCAATGTCCTGGTACCGTTCTTTCATGCAGAAAATATGCTGAGAATGATCCATTAACAAGCCAGTTTGAGTAAATCTGGCCACGTGACATGTGGATATACACTCCCAAGTTGATAAATATTATCACTAGGGATGAAATATTATCACTAGGAATGCACCGATATATCTGCCGCCGAAACATATCGGCCGAAAATGGCACTTTTGGCTAACTGCAGAGTAGTGCCATTTTCCTGCCCAAACATCGGCGCATGCCTGTTTTCTTTCATCCCCGCTGGGCGCTGCTCTGTGTCCCAGCGGGGAGGAGAGAAAGTGTGACAGCCGGCCGAGCACTGCGGGGGGAGTGTTGTGAGTGGCCGACACCTCTCCTCCCACACCGCTCAGCCTCTTATCACAGTCCGGCAGAGCGGTGTGTGGGGGCGGAGACAGCCGCACTGCCACAGGTGGCTGAGCTCTCCTCCCTGCACCGCTCGATCAACCTCCTGTGACAGCGTGTCAGAGAGGAGCGCAAGGTACAAACACTCAGAGATCAGTGATCGCTGAGTGTTTGTAGATAATTGAGGACATGGTATGTGTACTATATCCTCAATTATGAATGAATGGAAGTGGTCTATATCACCTCCTGTTCATTCATAATTGTGAATATAGTAAAACATACTCTGTTCTCATGTTATGAATGAACAGGAACACTCATAGAGGATTCCTGTTCATTGAACACAGGGGATACAGAAAAAGAGAGAGGCCTTTGTGTCAATCTCTTTTTCTATTTTAAAAGGGAAATATCGGTGGTTTAGACCCCTAATATTTCCCCAAAGCCCCTAAAAGTAAAGTAAAAGATTTAATAAAAAATTAATAAATAAATATAAAAAAATTACAGTTTATAAACATAAATAACAAAATATTTAACAATTTTGAAAAGATTTTAAATAAACATTTTTGGTTTCGGCCTGACGATTTTTTTTATTTCGGTTTTAAAATGTCCATTTCGGTGCACCTCCTAATCACTGTCCAGCTGCTACAAAATGAAGGATTCATATTATGCTGTAAAGGACCAGACAAGTGTTTGGTATAAATAAAAAGAATAATAATGTTAAACAAAAAAAACAAAAAAACTTGTCACATGCTAATAAGTAAAAGTAACCACACAACACTGAGTACTGGCAAGAATGTGAGCAGAACAGCTGATACTAGACTGAATACACAAAAGGGTGGCAAGTCTCGACACGGAGGAGAAGCCTGTCTCCAGCCACTAACCAAGTGCTGCATTGCATGTTTATTACAATGGGCTTTCGTAGCTGAATATGAAGATGTAAAGCTGTACTCTGCTCTTAGCAAACAACTAAATGTAGACAGGCTGAGAGTTCTCTTATCAATGATCAATTATTTTTTGTATTGATGTCTAAATGTTTAGCAAAAGATCTTCTCTACCTTTTTATCTTCATTGCTGCTTGTGCAATTTGTTAAAAAATTGATAAAATACGTAGTTCGTGAGTGATCTACAATATAGAATAGCAGGTCAACATGTAGCGTCTATGTAGAATAGTTTTCATGTCACTTAGTAGTTTGTCTAGCACTGACCCTTTCCCAGAGAGCATTTGCCGTTAATACTTTGGACATATTTTCCTTAAAGTGACTTTAAACCCTCAGATTTTTTAACATAAAACAATACTGTAATGTGCGCCTTACTGTAATCCATGGTTGTTTCCCTTCTCTTTGCTGCTCTTCCTTTTAAATCTGTATCTCTTCTCATGCTTGGCAGAACTTCTGTTTTGCAGCAGACTGCCTTGTCTCTGGAATGGCTACATGGTGTCTGTGTATAGGTTTGCAACCTGAGCCAGCACTACAGGAAGAGGCAGTCAGCTGCAAAGGGAAGTTCTCCCCAAGCATGAGAAGACATGAGGATTTAAAAGGAAGAGCAGCAAAGAGAAGTGAAAATACCATACAGTAAGGCACACATTACAGTATTGGTTTATGTTAAAAAATCTGAGTGTTTAATGTCACTTTAACATAATGATACAGAGATAATAGGGCCAGTTTGAGTGAAAAACAAAAATTTGTGCTAGGAAATGCACATAAATTTGGGGAAAACATACAATATGTAAATATCTTATGAGGGATCAGACCCAGATCCCCAGTGCTTCACGGCCAGAGTACTAACAACCGCAAAACCTAATGATAAAAGAAGTATATTGGTCTTGTAGCTTGCATATCAGTGTTTATATTCCTTTACAAGTCTCCTTCTAAATAAAATTGAAGAACGACCGCTGAGAGAAAGGTTGTCTTTTTGTTGTTGTACAGACTCTCTGTACAGTTATAGGATCTTCTCTCTTATTCTGCACTGTATTCTGATTCTCACAGGTGGCCAACTATGGTGTTGGAGGGCAGTATGAGCCCCATTTTGATTTTGGAAGGGTAAGTCCCTCTTTTCCCAGTTAACAGATGAATACTACAATGCATTGTCTCTTGTCTCTTTCAGGTGGCAAATTATGGAATGGGAGGACAGTATGAACCCCACTTTGACTTTGCACGGGCAAGTAATACACTGGTCACGGAAAGCAGCACTATCGCCTTTGTGCTTTGCAAGAAATATGTCCTAGTGCACATGTGCCCTTCCTTTTAGTGGAGTGAAGGCAGTGTGCAATATACAGAGCTGGTGAATGTGCTGGTTCCGGGATTCAGCAATATGTGTGTGTCCAACCTTTAAATGTACCATTCATAACATCATTTGTAGGGCTGCGAAAATTAACGATTAATCCCTCGATTAATCGTACATTTTTTTGATCGCTCAAAGTTCTTTTGATCCCTACTCACCTCTCCGCCGGCTTCCGGGTCTTCCGTCGGAGATCCGGTGACGTCACGGACATCGACGTCACCGGACTCCTCCCCCCTTCCCCAAGTGGCTGTTGGCTAACGAAGGGAAGGGGGGAGGAGTCCGGTGACGTCTGTGTCGTCACTGGACTCCTCCCCCGCTTCCCTTCGTTACCCGATGGAGCTGCGTGGGCCGGTGAGTACACATCCCAACTCTCCCGGCCGACCGGGAGAGAAACACTTTTTACCGGAAAGGTTTAATCTGCTCAATCGAGCAGATTAAACCTTTCCCTGCGATCGTTTTTTCTTTTCTTTTCTGACATCGGGAGCCGCGGCCTGACCGTCAGTCAGAAAAGAAGGGCATACAATTGCATAGCTAGATTCCTTTTGGCTATTGCACTTTGCAATTGCCAATAGCAAACTAGTTAATGCACCCGCCCACTGCTGCTGTCAATCAGCAGAGGGGGACCTGAATTTTTCTATCAGGTCCTCTTCTGGTGATTTGAAAGCAGCAGGGGGCGGGTGCATTAGATAGTTTGCTATAGGCTATTGCAAAGTGAAATAGCCAATAGGAATCTAGCTATGCATTCTTATGCCTTTTTTTGTTTATTTTTTATTCTGACAACTGCAACTGGCAGAATACTAAAAACAAAAGTCTGCAGATAGCACAGGAAGCAATAGCTTCTTTGCTATCTGCCATCATTTCAGGGGGGTGCTCTCTCCTAGCCCCCCCTCTGCGGATGGGGGGGGGAGAGAGCACCTCCCTAAAATGAGGGACACCTCCCTGAAATTGCTTATTTCAGGTTGGGATCCCTGGCATTGGACTATACACATACAGCACAGCAATGAAGTAATAAAATGAACTAGGATCACACTAATCCAGCACGTTATTATTCTGAGTTGCCCCACTCAAGCGGCGGCCATATTGAGTGGGGCACGTGAGATTAATAACGTGCTGGATTAGTGTGATCCTAGTTCATTTTATTACTTCATTGCTGTGCTGTATGTGTATAGGCCAATGTAGTTGGATCTGTATGTGCGTTATAATTGATTAAAAAAACTATTCGATTAATCGAACAGGAAAATTGTAATCATTACCAGCCCTAATCATTTGTTTTGGCAGAATATGTCAAATCACCATAAGAATCTTGATGAACAGCAATACCATAGTACTTAAATTGCAACTCCAGCTAGCAATGCAATTAGTTAAAGTGTTTGTGTGTGTCACAATACCTGTCTTTTGGACACTCTTATGATTGACACACCCATCCTATAGAACAACAAAAAGGAAGACACCATTATTTTCTTTTGTGAACTTGGACGGGCACAGTGGCTGCATCTGTACGGACACACCTGGGATTCCTGCCCTTAAAATCCATAGATCTGTGCCGCAGGAACCCCCAGCTGCAACCTAAAGCCCCGTGTTACTGGGGCCTTAGGACTAGTGCATGTACAGATATTTACAAAGCATTCAGCAAAGATTCTAAAAGAGAACCTGTACCTTGCCCACTTAGAAGTATTTAACCTCCGTATACCTTGCCACTGCAGTGGGGGGAAAAACAATGCGGTTGGATAGTGGAAGTGAGTATTCACACAATTTATTGTATGAATATTCAAAATTCCTTTAGTAAATCAGCCTTATTGTGTGTAAGTATGGCTGATATCGCCATGCATGAGATTATACAGCGCTAATAGGACAAAATATTATGCTTGCAGCTTTTTTAAATGCATTTACATCAGTTGGACTGTAGGGTTTATATTTGCCTGGAGCTTCACTTTAACAGGGATGTTTCATTTTTTATTACTGCACTTGATGGTTCTTCTGGTGGTTTTGCAGCATGAAATTTGTGGGTTCGCCGCAAAGCCCCAGAGATTTTTCAAATGAGAAGATCTGTACCTTTCTTGTAAAACGTGATCAGCGATTGTTCTACGAATGCTGTGTCTGAGCATGTTTCTGCATTGTTATAAACTGAATGCCTTCCAATAACTGATAATTGTGATTGTATGGTCTCAGAATGACATTAACACATTTAAGTAACTGATCTCCTGATGAACAGAACAATGCACGTTGTTTGGATGTTTTTGTTTTTACAAAGGTGTTACACTAAATGTTCCTTCTGTTATTCCACAGAAAGATGAACCTGATGCATTCAAAGAGCTTGGTACAGGCAACAGAATCGCTACGTGGTTGTTTTATGTAAGTTTTATGCAGAATAATAGACCATTATATTGGTGTGTCATCAGTTGTTGCCTGCTAAAGTCAAACATCATTGTTAAATCTGATGGATGTAAGCATGTTTTGCTCTAACTTTTTTTATAAGAGGTCGTATTAGTTGGCATTTTACATGGAGATGTTTGTAAATCTTGCCACATGCCCCAAGTAGAGTTTAACCTTTTCCCTGCCAAATCAGTTTTCACAATTTTTTTCTTTTTTGTGCACATTAAAATTCAAATTTTTAGACCTGAAAATTACCTCCCCCACCCATCCCATTTGGGATGGGTGGGGGAGGTAATTTGAGCTTGTGACGAGTAAATAGATCCCAAACATATCACGATTCCAAATTGCATGTGCCCATAAAATGGCAAAAAACTACAGTACCCAACATGGTCTATAGGTAACACTTCAAAACCTTTTACAGGTCATCAATTTAGAGTTAGCCGAGAATAATGTCCCTAGAAATATTGCTCTCTGGCGTACGCAGCAATACCGAACATGTGGTCCAGTTGTCATTTTCATATGTAGGTACATCTGACATGTGTTTTTATTATGCAGGGGGATAAAA